AGTCGCCGGAGTAGTCGCCGGTTGCAGGAGTAGTCACCGGAGCAATGGGGGGTGGTGGGGTGGGGTGGGGTTAATTATATTATATTACAGTTAAATATTTAATTTAATATAATAATTGTGAAATATAATTAATTAATTCAAAAGAAACCTGATTTTTGCAATTTCAAACTTTAGGACCTGATTTTTAATTTTGGTAAAGTAAATGCCTGAACCATAAATTTTTCCCTATATACAACCCAAAAGTTAAGGGCTTGGGCTAGCCCACTTATAATAAAAGCCCAATTAGATAATATAATAATGGCCCAAGCAAGCCATGACATCCCTTCTCCTTAAATTAACCTTGTCCTCAAGGTTTAAAATTGGGGTGTCTTCTTTGTACGTTGTTAGCTGTTGCCTCATTCTCTTCACCATCCTTGGATTAAGCAAGTAGTGCAAAGCGACATATCCTTGGTTGACATTATTTGCCCCACCTTCAACCAGCATGCCGAACAACCTTTGGATAGAAGTGGCTGATATACCAGATGCCCAACCATGATCATTTGAACTAAAGAAGAGTGCATAATGGAAGCATTCTTCATCAATTGTTTCGGTAAAATCCTTCCCTGTATGATTGTTGCCAGCAAGATTTACAATAGTCCGGAAAGCAGGTAGTTGTAGCTGAATATCGGTGGCAGCGTAGCAGCCCACTTCGTCCTTATTTTCCTGGCAATGAGAGTGGATACATTTACATTTAAGAGCCCACTCTGTGAACTTCTGGACCTTAGTACCAACTTCCATCTTTAGAACTCCATCTCCATTGCATTCTAGTAGTCGTTCAAGTGGAGCTTCCCTAGAAAATACCACATCCCCACTTCTTTTCCCTTCGACCTTCGGAGCATTAATAATTGCAGCCTCATTTTCATGATGATTACCATTGTCAAGAGTCGGATCTCCAGTTTCATCAGTTTCTATTTCCATGTATTCTTCCTCATCGTTGTTTTCAACAAATCGTCTACAAATCTCACTTGAAAACATGTCCCAATCAACATTGGGATGGTTGAAGATGAAGCCATAAAACCATATGTACGCTTTCCCTTCCAAATGCATCTTTGCAACTCCCAATTTAAGTTCGTCGGCGGTTTGATGAAGTTGGAAATATTTCATGGCTTTCCTTAGTCATTCCCAAGGTCCTTCTCCCTCAAACGGAGGGAAATCAATTTTAGGGAGTCTACCATTTCCCTTAACTTCACCAGCATTGATAAATTCAGTCATCATTGAAATCATTAGCTCGTTCTTCCGGTTGATTTCTTCCTTTAGGCTATCCAATCGAATGATGCCCAAAGACTGTAGCTGCTCTGATGCCATTGTTATGGTTTGAGCTCAACTTCAACCAAAACCAGCCAATAACCAACAATTAAAACTTAAGATGCAGGATATTAATTGTCATTACTCACATTGAAGAAGATAAACTGAAATAACCAACAAAGGCAACTTATTTCATCTCATTAATCCACAATTGTATTACAATTGTTATTTCATTTAGCATGCGTCATGGACCCCTGATATAA